CAAAAACACTTGGAGTGGGCAGTTCCTGTTTTTCCAGGACTACTTCCAGCTCAGCCTCGCACTTGCACCTGCTGCAGAGCACTACTCCAGCTGAAATGGTTGCTTTTGGTCTCTCCATAGTCTCTTTTGGAACTATTCTGCTTCTACTAGAGCCAGCCTCTATAGCTGGTCTGTCTTTCTTTCGTTCTGGCCAATTTAGGTTGACCATATTAACTTGTGGCGGGGGAAAAGGGTCTGTGGTGACGGATGGAGGTTTTTCTGCCAGCTTTAGCCTTCCTGCTGTTATCCCTTCCTGTATGACATCTCTGAAAACAACACAACTATTGGTAGAATGATTCCAAGAATTGTGCCATCTGCAATACTGTCTGCCCTTAAGTTCTTCTGGTTTGGGCATTCTGTGAGGTGCCTCTATTGCTTTCTGCAGCAACATTTCATCGAACAAGGCATCCACTTTGGTCATATCAAAGGAATACACCTTGTTCTGCATTGGTTTGCTTGGAACAAACCCTCATGTGAATGGTAGCGGCTTCTGATCCCTTGGAGGCTTTGTAAGAGTCTTACAACTGATGGGATGTTTTAATTTTGCCATTTCCGCAACTGCAACCTCTCCCTCCTCCGATCCCTCTGTATCTTCTTCTGACTCTACTTCAATCATATGTATTGAGGAAGAAGGGGATTTATAATACGTGCCTTTGGAAGAGTTTCTCTTCTGCTGTTCTTCCCTGAGCAATTCCTTGTACTTGGACGCTTTATCTGCCAGTTCTGCCAGATCTCCAAACAGCATCCCATCAAATCTTTTTCTCAGAGAAATCTTGAGGGCAGCTTGGGCCATTTGGATGAAGTGTCTTTCTTCCATGGGGATTCGGCACTTCATTTTGAGCTTCCTGAACCTGTTTATAAAGTCTTGGGCAGGTTCATCTTCACTCTGTTTAAGGGCAGCAAGGTCACTGATGGTGACTTCCGGCTGAATCCTGTAATAGTAGTCATGGAAGACACTCTCCATTTGTTCCCAAGTCTGAATGGAATTTGCTGGCAGATTAGTGTACCAAGTGAAAGCTTGTCCAGAGAGAGAATTCCCGAAAAGTCTTAGCTTTAACAGTGGGTTATTCTCTATGGCTATGCATTGGATAGAAAATCTGCCTACGTGTTCGACTGATGAAGCATAAGGATCCTCTCCGTTGAATAAAGTGAAGTTTGGCACTTTAAAACCCGGGGACAAGGGTATCTGATCAATGTAAGGTAGATATGGCTTTCTGTAGGTGGGTCTTTCTCCCCTCCTGGCCTCAGGCTCCATCATTTCCCTAATCATCCTTTGTAATGCCCCCACATCATTTAAAGCATTAACAGGTAGGAGATTTTGTCCCTGTTCTGGCTGGGCATAATTAATTCGGGGTTCTGCCCTATATGGCCTAGGCAGAACTTCTTCCCTGT